ATGATATTATATACGGGGTGTTCCATTTGAAAAATCAAAGAAGCCGCTACTTTATAGTAGAAGCGACAACGCCGCTTCGTCTGAAATATTTTAGGCGTGTAGGTCATATTGATTTATGCATACTGTGGAATTTTCAGGTTGATCCGTTAAATAGTTTGTCAGAAAAGGCTAATTAACACTCATCATGAAAAGCCCTGTATAGGCGGGTTGGCTGTCCTTGTTCATCTTTCACTGCCTGAACCACTGTTCATGCTGTTTCCGGCGAGTTCATTGGCTTGGTATGTGGGGGTTGAGCAAACCGGCCATCGATGCCTGCTTCCACGTAGCCCCGCTGGATACTGAAATGACAGAATCACTTGCGGTTCTGTTATTCCCTAATGAATGGCACCCCAACGATGGCTGAATCCTAAGGTGTGTGTATCCGTGCCGAGAGGATGAATGACACTGAGACTATCAGCAGTCCTACCAGGCTAGCATGCCGAATCCAGCAAAATTGAAAAAAAAAATACATGAATTTGTAGCTGATTGGTTGCCAAAACAACGATTCTGTTGCTCGTGCCGATAATTTTCCTCGTTCTTGCTAACTTGAAACTGGTTTCCAACCAAGTAGAAGTTTGGAGTATTGAGGTTATTTTATACAGTTGAGAAAATTATTGAAATATTTGATATCAAACGAATAAAAGAATAAAGTCATTGATTAATAATAATTAAAGTGTAAGACGGAAATTTTGTAAGAAAATTATTGGTTTTTCGAAATGAAATTTTATGTTTTACATTTCAGTTAAACAGCTTGTCTTATTGTACCGGGTCTATATAAAATTCGTTATTCTCACATGTAGAACAATTTTTCGACTGTTTTTAATATTCTGTATTAAACGATAACAGTCTGGTAGCAAAGTAATATCAAAATTAAAAATATTGAATTGAAGGTGAATTAGCACTTGTCAATTAACGCTTGCTATTGAAAATGAAAAAAAGTCGCTGACATCAGAAAATTTCTGAAAAATTTTTTCTAATTAATGCATTACAAAAATAATAACAGATGAATCAACACATTTAAAAATTTCGAAAAAAATAAAAGTGCAATTTACAATAATTGTAAAACCGTTAATTCCTGATTAACTTTGTCTTTCACGATTCATACGTTTGATGAGATAGAAAGTAAATAATCCCTTGATTGATTATGATCTTTGCCCCTTAATTCACCTATGAGTCAAGAGACACGGAGAACATTACAAATACTCACGACTAATACAGTTAACTATTTTTGAATGGCTGAAACTATCTAAAGAGACGACGAACTGACTAGCGTAACTTCCACTAGAAAAAAAATCAGAGTAAATCCCTGGTCACGCCTAAACTTTTACTTCGAAAATTTTAAAAATCAACCGATCGGTTTCAAGTATTTTGTTGCTGATTCTTCAAGTGTATTCAAGTACTCTCCTGGTAAGCGACAAATTTAGAACATCTTCAATTCCAGGGAAACCCAGTTTCAAGATAGCAATTACGAGGAAAATGAAAAAAAAATTAAAAATGGGCCGATCGGTTTGAACTATTTTGTTGCTCATCCTCCAGGGGTATTTGAGTATTCTTCTAATGAGCAACAAATCAAGAATACTTTGTATTCCAGAAAAACCGGTTTCAAGATAGCAAGAATAGAATTTTAAAATATATTAAAAATCGGCCGATCAAGGCCAACTATTTTGTTGCTGGTTCTCGGAGTATATTTGAGTACCCTTCTGATAAGCAACAAATTCAAAACACTTTTCATCACAAGGAAAACCCGTTTCAAGATAGTAAGAATGAGGAAAATAAAAAAAAAATCGGCCGATCGGTTTCAACTATTTTGTTGCTGATACTCAAGGTGTATTCAAGTTTACTCTTGGTGAGCAACAAATTTAGAACATCTTTTATTCCAGGAAAAACCAGTTTCAAGATAGCAAGATTAGAAAAAATTTTAAAAAAATTTTTTTTTCGCTAAATCCAAGGTTTACCAACTGAATAGTAACTGAATTTTTTGTAAAGATCCAAGGAAAAGTATATAATTTATTTAGTTACCTTGATATCACGACAGCATTATTTGCGATTTCTAGGGATCGGCACGAGCAACAAAATCGTTGTTTTGGCAACTAATTAGCTACAAATTGATGTATTTTTTTGCAATTTTGCTGGATTCGCCATGCTAGCCTGATAGGGTTACTATCAGCTGTCTCTACGGAACCCTCGAGATACCGGACGCCCTCTCGTCGTAGCATCGCCTTGTCACAGTAATGCGGGGCTATGTCGTGATTGACCTTCTTTTCCTAGCTACTCGTGGGACTTTTATGAACAGAGTAATCTTAAAAATTCTTTCTGAGGCTGAGTCTATAGAGTAGATGAATGTCGAGCTTACAACTCCAGAATCTGTTTCACGTGGGAAAATAAACCCCCCATGAGCAGGTTAACAAACGTTTGGGCTCAACCTCAAACCAGAGGCAAAAAAGCCCTTCACAGCTGAATCTGAGGCATCGTCAGGTGTAGCTGGCGTGCAAAAATCCTCATATGGAAAGGTTGTCGTGGGTATCAAGGTGGGAATCTTGCAATTTGACTATCCGACTACCTGATTCAGTCCTTAGCCCCGCTGGGGACTGAATCAGGTCTTTAGAGTTCGGCAGAGCCGTACTCTTACCATCTGACCTGAAAGACCACTCACCATACAAACTAATCGGACCTATATTCAACTGATGGTTATCAGATGAAGTATTGTATTTTTCAAGTATAACGAATTTTGGAATTTTTTATGGATTTCAAGATTTTTGATTGGACGTGTGGATTTCACTGAAAATTTCAATATTTCAGGTCTAATTTTTGGAATTCAACATGGATATATACCCTTATTGACTCCCTTTTTTACAAAAATGGTATTACAAGAATTTCGATTAAAAGTTGATAAGAGGTAACTCCCTCCATGTTGTGGTCAATAATTTTAATATCATTTCTCGACATTCGTTGAATCAAATTTAAATAATAAGAGATCGTTGAGAAGACAAATCGATGACCTTTCAAACGATATCTCTTGACTTCTAATCTCATTCAAAATGGGGTGGAAATAAAAATATGCTCAAAATATTTCGCTTTGTAAATAGATAAATAATATTCCGAGTTTCTCTTCATAGAAACATTTTGTGTATTAAGCTATAATAATTGACCGTTCTCCCCGCTATTCAACATTATATCATTACTGCATATCAGAAATATAATCCAACAAGTTGTAAAAATAAATCACTCTGAACAATCTTCAATCTTTTCTTTCTACAGTTATTACCAACATTTCGCCAGAATGATGCAAATCTCATGAAGATAAACAAAAACATGTTTTTCATTTCTCCATTTCATTCTCATTATCTCAGGGGTTATCACTAACGGTCACTACCCATCTTTATTGCTTCATTAATCTCAAATAATACTATTTTCAGAGTAGGGTTTAGATATTTCAATTCGATATTTGCTGGTGGTAACATATCGTGACAGAACGTGACTTTGAACTATTGTTTAGTAAATTGAAATAATCAATTGAGTGAAATGGCTACAAATAGTGGTAAAATTGCATTACTGTCGGTGTCGGACAAAATCGGTTTGGTTGATATCGGAAAAAAGTTACACACCCTTGGATTCACCCTCGTAGGTAGTGGCGGTACTGCAGCTATTCTCAGAGGAGCAGGCCTTCCTATCAAGGATGTGTCGGAAATATCTGGAGCACCAGAAATTCTCGGAGGAAGAGTAAAAACTTTACATCCAGCTGTGCATGGTGGAATTTTGGCCAGGTTACAGCCATCTGACCAAGAAGATTTGAGGAAACAAAATATTGAAATGATCAGAATTGTCATCTGCAACCTGTACCCTTTCAAGGAGACTGTCTCCAAAGAAGATGTCACATTAAGTGATGCTGTCGAAAACATTGATATTGGGGGAGTTACGCTTCTTAGAGCAGCCGCTAAAAATCATGAGCGAGTAACAGTGGTGGTAGATCCTGCAGATTATAATAAAATCCTCCAGGAAATCAGAAGTAGTCCAAACAATGACACAACCATCGAAACAAGACGGACACTAGCTTTGAAAGCTTTCACTCACACCTGCCAATACGATCTAGCAATTTCGGATTATTTCCGTAAAGAATTCTCCCAGAACCAATCACAACTCTCTCTTCGTTACGGTATGAATCCTCATCAAAAACCTGCTCAGCTATACACCACCCTGGAAAAATTACCCCTCACCGTTGTCAACGGATCCCCTGGGTTCATCAACTTGTGCGATGCATTGAATAGCTGGCAATTAGTTAAGGAGCTAAAAACGGTTATTGGGCTTCCTGCTGCTACCAGTTTCAAACATGTCTCGCCTGCAGGAGCTGCTGTTGGTATTCCGCTAGATCACAATCAAGCTAAACTTTGCATGGTGGATGACATTCTCGAAGAGTTGTCTCCGTTGGCTATAGCTTACGCCAGGGCCAGAGGTGCGGATAGAATGTCATCTTTCGGCGATTTCGTCGCTCTTTCAGACATATGTGACCACCCAACTGCTCGATTGATATCCAGAGAAGTGTCCGATGGAGTAATTGCTCCAGGTTACACTCCTGAGGCATTGGAACTCTTGAGAAAGAAGAAAAACGGTAATTACTGTGTACTTCAAATCGATCCCAATTATAACCCAAATCCAATAGAAACTAAGGTTATTTTCGGCCTTACATTAGAACAACGTAGGAACGATGCTTTAATAGACAAATCTCTTTTCAAAAATATAGTAAGCGACAACAAAAACCTTCCAGAAGATGCTGTAAGAGACTTGATAGTGGCCACGATAGCCCTGAAATATACTCAAAGTAACTCAGTTTGCTACGCCAAGGATGGACAAGTTGTGGGAATTGGAGCTGGTCAGCAGTCCAGAATACACTGCACAAGATTGGCAGGAGATAAGGCAGACAACTGGTGGATGAGACAACACCCAAAAGTTCTCGGGATGAAATTCAGAAAGGGAGTAAAAAGAGCTGAAATTTCCAACGCAATAGACAATTTCGTCAACGGATCAGTAGGAAAAGATATGGACAGATCCATCTTCGAGTCAATGTATGACGTTGTACCAATAGAATTCACTGAAACTGAACGTCGTACTTGGTTGAGTCAGCTCAAAGGCGTAGCGCTAGCATCAGATGCGTTTTTCCCATTTAGAGACAATGTTGATAGGGCAAGACTAAGCGGTGTTTCATATATTGGTTGTCCTTCGGGATCTACGAATGACGAAGAAGTTGTGAGAGCTTGCAATGAACATAAAATTGTACTGGCGCACACGAATTTACGATTGTTCCATCACTGATAAGAAACTGTTCTTATTCATTGTGTATTTTTGAATGTCGAATAAATTTTATTTTGAGATTTTCATCAACATTTATTTTGTTAAGGGTATTTCTATTATTTTTTTTTCAACTCACTTTTGTACCGAGCACATTATTGAATTGCTGAAAATTGTTTGTTGAAACTTCTCCATTGAAGTGTGATATAATTATTAGGTGGAATATCAATCATTTTTCAGTGTCTAGATAGTGAAGAAAAATCAATATGAAAAACAATATGAAATATACAATAAAAAACTGTTGAGGAGTTGATAAAGGTTTATTATTCAAATAGTTCACTAGGTAAGCTCCCAGTAGAAGAAAAAACTTATTTGAATATATCAATAAAAACCCTTCACAAATATATTTAGATTCAAACTGAAACGAACTTTTTCGAAACTACTTCCACATTAACATTGAATTACACAAACGAAAAAAGACTTTTCGAATCAACTACTTCCATATGTCATTGAATTACAAGAAAATCACTTTTTTCCATTCACTTTGTACCGTAAAAAATTTTTTTGGCCTTATGTGGTGTAACTTCCTTAAATATTTAGTTTTGAAAAAGTAGAGCTATTTGATAATCATGATCATTGCAAGGCTTTGTCGATCTTTTCCTTTAATTGTCAGGTAAAAAATTTGATGCGTTATCGTAAGTTACAATAGGTACTTGATAAGATATTCCAACTTCATCTGAATAATAAATGGCGATTTTTTCTTTTTTCAATTGACACGTTGAAGTTAACTCAATATTTCGAAGAGTTGAACGTATATTTATTTAACACTTAATGAAGACTTTACCTACTGATAATTATGTGTCCTTCTTTCTCTAAATTTTAATTTGACACATTCTGACAGAAAATACCTTTTCAAAAATCGTCGTTCCATGAACTTTTACCCAGTACAGAATCAAAAACAAATAAACTTCATATCACATATCACTATGGAGCACACAATCAATATGAGATACTTTCAAGAAAATATATCTGGAGTAAAGCAGTATCAAAAATAAAAAAGTTTTATGTTGGATGCGAGTCTCATTTTACCAAACTACTTCAATTCAATGAAAATGAAAACAAAATGAAAATTATCTTATGCATCAGAAGTTTGCATTTAGAAAAGCCTTTCCTCATAACTTTTATCAATATTTTGAGAAATATCCGCACTTCTTGAAAATAATTTAAATTTGACATGTAACGAGAACCAATGTAACAAACTCTTTTGGTTAATTTTCATTTGACTTCGAGCAGAAACTGATTCCAAATTCTAATTTCGAATAATGCTATCTATCAATGACGTGTTCTTTACTAGCCACACTGTATAACTTAACAAAAATATGTCTTCATAAATTCTTTAACGAACACACTAATTTAAAGAATCACAAGCCAAATATGTGGTAATTCTTTGTACGCACTGAAGAGTATAGAAATGCTTCAGAAATAGCTACAATCGTATTCAATGAAAGCAGTTTGTAGAAAAGACCATATAAATAATAGTATAATTACGAAAAAACATATTTCCATTATGTCGTCTTTGAAACCTCAAATTTCGACTTTTATCACGCAATTTTCAGTTCAAAGTCGTAATTTCGAGTGACGAGAAGCTATATATGGAACCCGTGGGTTGGGCTACCTATCAGGCGAGTCCCTAGGTGACGAATAGGGGAACGGCCAGAGGACTGGAGACCCTGTCCGGGAAGTCAATGTGGCCTTACGGACGGGGTCGCTGGACTCCTGGTCAGTGGCAGAAATAAGTAGGGTGAAATAAGTAGGTGGCAGAAATAACTAAAACTCCCCAAAAGCATATACAAAACATGCCACCGTGAACCAGCCTACCCAAGCTAAGGTGTAAGGAATCGTGCAGACAGCTGAATTGCCACAGGGTGATATGCAGTCACGAACGATTCCCTTGGGGAACTGGGCGAAACCTCATTGTAATCAGCCTACCTCTGGTAATGCAGGGATCTGCCAGAGGTGACCAACTCTTCCCTTACTACTCGTGGGAACATACTTGAATGAAACAAACACAAAAACCGAAACAACAAAAACAAAAACCAATCCCGAGGCTGGACAGAAGTACTCACCCCAATCTAAGGCGGTGGCTAGGGATGAACAGAAATATCCACCCCAATCTACCACTTTGAATAAGGCTGGACACAGCAGATCACCTCGTGATATAATACAAAGGCCAAGGCGTAAGCGCATTTGCGGCGCCGAGGCCAAAAGGAGAAAGAGAGCGAAGGAGGCAGGAGTGGCATCCTCCTCCTCCCCCACTCTACCTTTAACAGCGAGAGCACTTCCTGCGGTGGGCGCCAAGAGCTTCGCCTTGAATAAAAGCAAGGAACCGGCAGGAAAGCTCCCTCACTTGTGCACCTCCACGGAGGAAACCCCAAGAAGGTTGAAAAAGCCGCGCAGCGACCGTAGTGTCGCTGCACCTTCCAAAAACTTCGCGGAGGCCACCGTGAAACCCCTCAAGGTTGCCAAAGAGAGTGTGTATTCGGCGAGTCAATATTAAGGACATGTCTCCTAGTGACCTGTCCATCTTCCTGGAAAGGACGGGATGGACGATGACCTAGGATGACAACTCCTCAGGAGGATGTACAATGGGTCACATGTGGCCTAAGTGCTGTGGGTCTACACTCACCCTCCCTACTGTACAGATACAAATACCATCTATGGATTCGACAGAGAACTCAATCCTCAAATATCGAAGATATTTGATATCTAAGATAAGAGGCTACCCAAGGCGGCCAAGACAAGTTTCGTAATCGCCACCGACAAGATTTGTCTCCTGCTTCCACTTCAGCTGTCACTGCAAGACAACTAGTTGTGATTGAAAGCTTAACCACCATTCAACACCAGACAGCGTGTTTCGACCTGCCAACGGTCTCATCAGTGGTGCTAGGCTGAACCACAAATACATTACCGAACTCAACTGCCCTTGAAGAACCAGCCTAAGTAGGTAAAAGCGATGACATATTTCCCCCTCAATTAAATTGCTACTTCAATTTCAAAATGGGAGTCAAAATTTCGAGATAAAAGTCGAAATTTTCAGTTTTAACTCGTAATTTCGAGATTAAGGTCGAAGTTTCGAGTGTCAAAGTTGTAATTTTCACGAAACAAATATCTTTTAATGAAGAAACAATTTTATTAATCATTGTGGTACCCAATTATACTGATCAGTTGAAGAGTTCACCAGAAACAAAGCTGAGTATTACAAATCTCACGGTTCCAGCTAGTAAAATGAAAAATCTAGAAAAATTATGTACATTTGTTCTATACCTCACCTTCGAAACAAGGATTACATTAAAAAATTTGCTGATAAGCTTTTTAATTGAATTGAAGGGGTTATATTTTTAGAAGTGATTAATTTTTGGGAAAGAAAGTTTTTGGCTTTCTACTACGATGTCATTGATGACATAAGCAGATCAAGTTTATTCCGTGACATTAAAAAATTGAAATTCATGAATAAATTGTGTATATTTTCTATAATGTTATCCAATTTGGTACTGAAGAGCCTTAGGGCAAGTGTCTTAAGGCGAAACATCGGTGTATACCAATAAGGGTGACAGTGTTCTATGTGAGTACAATTTATTACCATTCATTCAAAGTAGAACTCATGTGAATGATATCTGATTCTTATTCCACAACAAATGTTTGAAATACAAACTGAGTAGAGAAAAGTATCT